ATTTTACCCTCAGGCTAGGCAAAAAAAAAAAAAATTGCGCCCCACCCTAATGTATATGTATATACAGATGCATTTACTGCCCACCACGAGCGTGACTTGGCTCCCTGGATAGCGTCCGCCGCTGCGCCACCCGCCGATTGCATTGTTCTCAGCATTTATTGCACTGTTGTGTGGCGTTGGGATTCAATTACGTTGTATTGGATTCATTAAAAAATGCTTAACGATTTAATTACACGCACTTGCACAGGCGATGTAATTTTCAGCAAGCAACAACAAAAACAAACAGTAAAAACAATTACAAAATTCGACGAAAAGTTCAAGCATAAACAATTCCAATTGGCATTGGGTGTTGCCAAGGCAAAAAACAACAAAATACAAAGAGAAAAAAAAACAAACAACAATTGCATCGCTGATTTATCAGCCAATCACCGAAGAGCCAGTGAAAGGCCATTGTGTGTGGGAAAGTATCATGAAAGTATGTCATTCAACAAAAGGCATACATATTTATTTTTTATAAAGATAAATATATATTTAAACAAGTAAATAAATATATGCATATACTATACGAGGTTAGTTTGGTAAGTCAATGCTTACTGAAATAACAAAGTTAAAAGAGAAGTCATTTTATTTCTGAACATAACCTCACTTTAGCTCGGTTAATTTAATCAATAAAATTTGTAGTCATTACATGGTTGGACCGGTTTGATACTGCAGTCTCACTAACTTCAGAATGGGAATGGGTATGAGCGCCGTTGGCTTCGTGCGGTTCACTACTCGATGGTTGGACCTCATACCATCCCAACAAGCGCTGGTCAACTACTAGCAACTGCACACTCTCACGGTCCTTCTGACACAGGGTAAATTATAAGAAATCTAGTGAGCTCTTCGCCCTCAGCAAAGCTCACCTTTCAATCGTTGTAGAAGTTCTAAAAGAACACAGTCCGAAACGGATTCATGCGATTGAAAATTTTACCGGATGACAGTTGCATAAACTGCTCGGAAGAAGGTTAGATCATCTCACTTCCATCCCCAATGTACCGCCTTTGCCAGATCAAGGTTAAAACGCTAAAACACCTCGGTTCTCATACTTTTAGACATCCTGGTGAAATAGCGCAAACAAAACTAAAGCACCAAAGCAGATTTGTTGCAAGTTTAAAGCGTTTTGTCCAACTGCGTGAGTTTTTTACTGCCTTCACAAAGGTTTATATACAGCAGTCTAAATTTGTACCCCCGTCGTCTTGAGGGATCAGCCATGTGGCCCGACTTAACCGATCCTAACTTCAAGGACACCACTTATCATCGAGACAATTGTTGTTTTATTGAAACAGTATTCGAGAACCTCTAAATGGTTTTCTTAAGCGCCACGATAACGTTAGTGCCTCATCGAATACAAGTTCCGGTAATAGACCAAACGTGACTAGAATGTCGCTATAACACCTCTTGTTCGGGTTTACTTCGAGCCTTGCCAATTAAAGCCACAATTAAAATTATCTTATTGTTACTCCAATCAAAGTTGAGAAAACAGCTCAAGGCCTTTCCGCTATTGCTGTTATATTTTATAGGTAGTATAATTATTTATAATTGTATTTCCTTAAATAAATAAATAAATAAAAATAGTATAGTGGCGATAAAGATATTATATATTTGTAGAAGTTTAAATTTAGTCGAAATGAGTGAATGATATAAATTTACAATTTACTTACGGAATCTAAATTAGTAGATGCCAGAAATATTTTCCTCGAAAAATTGTACCGTTCTTAGCTCAAGATCTACCGATGTTGCTCCAAATAATTGTAGAATCTTTCTTAATATATCGTATAATATTCCTTAGTGATCCTCTCGCCATCTTTTTGTTATATATAATAGACTTTCCAGCTTTCTGAAAATATATTATCTGACCTTGTTGACTCTACAAAACCACCGTAGTCTTTTTTGGTATAAGAGACAATCTATCTGATTCTAATTGTTTGGTATCCGATGAGACCCATTTTTTCCAGCCTAACAAAACTATTTCGGGCTCGAGATTATATGTACATCTTTAACCTTTTATTTACACTACTCATCTCATGGAAATTGTTCTAATCGAAGATCATAACATCTTTTTGTTAAATTGCAACGATTTTTCCTCAATATCTACTGATTTGGCTACAAATCATTGTCGAATCTTTCAAATAATATTTGCTAGTGTTCCTTGCAATATTTATTGGTTAATAATAGAATAGAAATGCCAGCTTCGAATCTTTCAAATAATATTTGCTAGTGTTCCGTGGACTATTTTTTGGTTAATAATAGAAATGTCAGCCAAAAATATATTTCTGACCTTGTTGACTCGATAAATTCACCGTAACACTCTTTAGTATGGTATATGTTTGGAAGGAGTCTCATTCTAAATTTTTGATATCCTAAGAGATAAATTTTTTTCCACTCATAAAAAATCCGAAAATCCCAATATGTTGAGTAAAGTAACCCAACAGAACTATCTTCGGACATTGCTAATACCAACCTTCAAAACTTTTGCGTATACTTTAGCGACGATTTCAGAAAAACGTTTCAGTGACCTGAATGTTAAGCCTCAAAATTAAAAATAGACCAAAGCGGAATTCGCAATTGGAAAATTGAAATAATTGAAGTCAAGTTCTCAAACTATTAACAAAAAAGTTTTATGTTTTAAAAAAGATTTAATATTTAAATTTTATTTTCCATATTTCTTAACATCACTACATGCAATAGCTGCTCAACTCCACCCTAAACCAACTCAAAATTTGACACATTAATATTCATAGTAACTGCTTGACAGCATTTGCATTGTTGCATTTAGGTCACCAAAATTTCTGACCCATCAAACTGGCCTCGTCAAAATATGACATCTGCACTGCTATTCCCACGAAGCAAATTTATTAAAATATACATATACAAACATATAAAAATGTCCTGCGGTCATACTCGTAAAACGAATGCGCCATTCAACCCCTTATTGGAAAATATAATATATATACTATACATGTAAATAAGCTCAAGCAAAGTATTTTTATTGCTTTTGAAATGGAAATTCACGGCAACAGTTCTGCGGCCTATTTCCTTAAGAAAATTGCTCAGCTTCCTTTTATAAATATAATATCAAGGCGAATGGCGGTCTTGCTTTTATACCTTCTTATTTATATGTATAGATATGCTTATATCCCTATAAAGAGAAGCTATTTGGTCCTTTTGATGTGTACTCGTATGCTAAAAATGGCCTCTGGGCTTTCGGTTGCAAAGTTTCTTAAGCGTACCCTGTACACAGATTAAATAATTGCGCCTTAAGATGATTTGGAGTATACTTTTACAAAGAAAAAACACATGTGCGTATAAAAATGGATATTTATGTATGTAAATATATATAATATATTAATTTCCAACATTTTGAAGCTATTTAAAGCAGTCCAGATTAGCTATTTTAATGCTTATGTTTACAAAGCTTTAAGAAACTTTACATTCAATATGTTTCGATGTCAAATCCCTGTACTAACGCTATGAAAAACAAGAAAATATACTACTACCATATGCTATAGTGGACCGATCTGAACAATATGTTCGGAGATTGAAGACTGTCTTGCACAATAATTTATGCTAGAATTCGTGAAGATAATTTCTCAAATAAAATCGACTCAGTTCGTCACGCTGATCAAATATTAGCCTCGAGTAGTTGTCAATGAACATTGCTTGTATAAAATCGAATGTATTATATTTGGTCGTCAAAGGAATATTGGCATTCGTGTAGTTTAGTCATATTTATGTTTCAATAGTGCGACTTTGCTTCAGGCAAGATCACTACGAAGAAAGCAGCCCAAACAACACTGATATGGTGTCCTGGGCACATCAAAAGGCAACCTGTCGCTATCCGAAGCGCGGTATTCTCTAACTTCATCAACTGGAGTTAAAGATAAAATAGTGAGCCAGTTAACTGTTGAGATAACGAAGTCGGATTAACTTGTGTCCATATATGGTATTCCCGAAATGCAACTATTTAGTGTGGTGCGACTTCTGAAGTACGTATATAAGGTCTAGTTAAACAGTACATTATTTTTTCTTAAAAATGCAGGTTTTACTTGACATAGTTATACTTGTAATAAACCGATTAAAGTTAAATATATACCGCTTTGTTCGATAATATATTATTATTTTGAGGATATTTTCATAATGTCACGCCCATAGAAATCATTGTACCGTATGATAAAATCCAGGCGCAGTAAATTGTCTCAAGCTTCCCTTGAAGCGAATTTTTCACCAGCAAAATCATTCACAATGGACTGAAACAGGTAATGATGACTTGGTGCTAGGTCCCGACTGTAAGGTGGAACTAAGAACTTCACAGCCAAGCTCCCGGAGCTTCTGGCGAGTTTCTATCGATGTGTGTGGTCTAACGTTGCCCTGATGGAACACAATTTCTCTCCTATTGGTCAACGCTGACCGCTTCAGGGTTTAATTTTTGAACTTTGTCATAAGTGCCTCACCATCGCGTTTGATTAGCTGTTACAGTATCAGGATCATAAACACTGTTCAGATTTTCAGCCGCTTTCTATAAAATATGGCGTATTTTCTCTGTGCTGGTGTTCATTCTTGACACATGCGGGAGGTTTTTTTTTAGTACAAAATCTTAACTTTTTAATGCCATATAGCGTAGCTAGATCGCGCCTATACAACGCGAGATACAGATTACTAAAGCCATCTATTGGTGAAATAATGGGTTTATTTTTACTAGAACTTATATTACAAGTATATATACTTGAACTTTGGTGGTGTTACTTTTTGATCTCATAGCTTCTAGTGACTGAATAATTTCCTTATTCTCTCTTAAATTATCGTTTGCTGTGTGACTCTTGATTTAAGAAACCCTGAAATATTATAACATGTAATTCTAAATTACATGTGACTATAACACGAATTAATCAATGTCATGAGAATATAACTTTTTGGCAATATATTTTAATTAAAGTACTTTTCAACGATGTATTCTCTAGAACATCACCCCCCCCTACATTATCAATAGCATGACTAGCTAAACGCGAGAAGCATCATTGGCCACACTTAATTTACGGCATCGCGTGTAAAGTCAAAAAAGCAATTGATCAGAATAAAAGCAAGCGATAAAAGGTGAAGATGTATTACAATATTGATAAATGCACATATGTACATACTTACATACATACACACAAATATATAGCTGTAATATTTTATTTAATGATGAGCAGTAATTTTCGTAAAATTTTAGCTTAGCGTATGTAACATATGTACATATATAAATATTTTGTATTGTTGTTGGTATATATTTACCATGAATTGTGGTGTGCGTGTCTGTCTGCGGGTATCAGCTAAGCAATCGGTGTTATCTAAATGTACTTACATTAATGCTTTAGCTATTAAATACTTTTGTAATTTTTTGGTAATGCTGAATATTTACAGTAGCGGGCATAGAAATACTGCCAGAAACTGATGAATGAAGTTCATTTTCTTAAAAAATTTGGAATTTCGTTTTACTAGTTTGGAATTTATTAAGTAAAATATTTTAATTTTTTAGTATAGATAAAAAATTAGACGAAAAGCTTAAAAAGATTTAAATAAAATTACACTATGTTACTACACTTTTTTAAATATACTGGACTTCAAAAATGAGAAATATATCTTTATTTATAGCTTTCGATAAGTCAATTCAGCTGCATCAACAACATTTACAAAGCAATAAGTTATTGGAAATATTCAAAATCCCCAGAAGCTTACTTCCGCAAACAGCTCCCAATAATTCAAATTTCATGTCTCCTGCTGAAAACTCTTTAAACGCAATAGATTTCTTAATAAAAATGGAAGAAGTTGTTTGAATTTTGGGTCTCCAGCTGTAATGTAAAGATAAAACTAACATATTTCATAACAAAAATGGAAGATGTTAATCGCATTAATCGATTCCCGGGTCTCCAGCTAAAAATTTCTCCAAACACAAAAGATTTCATAAGAAAAATGAACGAAGTTAAATACTTTGAACCCAACATATTTCGTAACAAAAATAATAGAAGTTGATCGAATTTCAGGTTTCCAGGTTAAAAGTGCTTTAAAACCAACAGATTTCATAACAAAAATAAAGAAAGTTGAGCGAAAAAAGAAGAAATTATGAGAACTATGCCATCTTGCTGTAATTTTCCGAAATTCAGTCTCTGCAGAAGCAGAAGAAGAGGATTAGAAGCACCTCTGTAGAAGAAGCATTTCTTATAAGCTTAATAAAATCCAAAGCAGTAAGTCCAACATTTTTTTAATGCTAATGTTATATAAAATAATTATACTTCTGTAGAATCGTGTATTTAATATTTAATGAATTTACTACATAACTATTGTACATATATATGGCTAGCACCTTTAAAAATGCTTCCAGATTATTTGTGTCCTCTAGAAAAATTGAAAAAAAATTAATATATTTATGCCGAATACTATCGGAGCTGTTAGACTTGACCTTTCTTTCTCTACTGCAAGTGAGATACTATTATCAGACAACGATTCTCTTCGAATTTAAAGAATATAATATGTCTTATATATTGACCGATATTTTCGGTAAAAAGTTAGCTGTAAACACTGGGGTTCACATATTCGGTATCTGGGGCTTGAACATTTATACTCCGACTTCTGACAATTCTTAGTCATGAGTTATCATATTTTAAAATTACTATTTGCGCAAAGTTTTAGCACAATATATTCATTTTTGCTTGATTCGTATACTAAAGGAATTAATAATTTTGTTATGTGGGAAATAGGCGTGGTTGTCGTCCGATCTCGCCCGTTTTCACACCTTAATATAGTGTGGAAAAGAATGACAGGAAAATGTTATGTACCAAATTTGATTGAAGTGGTCAACTCGTTCTTGAGATATGGGATTTCTCCTAAAGAGGAGCGGTGCCACGCTAATGGGCCAATTTTGACACCGGCTCCGAATATTAAATCTTCTAATTTTTCTTTCCTTTAATATATAACTATATCTATCTTGATTAGTTTTAAGTGATACAAACAACCGTTAGGTTAACAAAACTAGTACATTATGTTGCGAGAGTTTAAGACTGTATCAATTTTTTTTTCCTAAGGGCTACCGTTTCTGAGATATACGGATTCCAAAAGTAGTAAAAACATCGCTAAGAGCACTACCTCATAGGTGGCATGGAAACGTGTGGATATTGTAACGATTATTATATATCAGAACCTTCGTCTTAGTCAAAAAGACCGCCAGTGCTTAATTAATATTCTATAATTTTATTCTTACACAACCTCAAAACCTTCAATAATGACCAGTAACTGCAGGCTTCTAAAAAAAATTTGAAAACGTTTACATTTTAACGCCCACCACTGTAAATGTCTATATATACATAATTTGTAAATTCCCAAACATAAATGTTTATTTAGCCACCACAAGACATAATTTTAAGCAGCCATCAATGCTTTATAACCACCGCTACCGCTACATTCATAATATATTAGCATGTTAAGCGTTGGATTGCGGTCCACTCAAACCCGAATTTGCACCAGGCTCAATGATGCGACGGCTGTTGCGACTTTACTGCGTTCGGTATCGCTTTTCAATTTTTCACGACTCCATTTTAGCAAGCGAAAATGCCACAAAATTGCTTTGGGACCTTAGGACAATAGCAACAGTAACAACAACAGCACCATATGCGCAGCAATTTACGTACTCTTTCATATGTTTGTATCTATGCATGGTCCTCCCGTCCGACTGGTGCACGCCACGCCGCCGATGACGACACCTATAAACATTAACTTGTCAATAAAGGTAATTCATTATGTCGCTATTGAATACCCCATGGAATGACGCAAACAAGCAACAAACAACAAATGCTGGTAACAGTCAAAACATTACAAAAACAAAATAAAATTACAAAAACAAAAATATATTTATAGCTGCGACAGGTATTAACGTGGGCAAGAATATAGCAACAATTCCGAACATAGCTTCAGCGCATCATTGTTACAGCCAATGGACGATTTGAGAGGTGAGCGGCCCTGTAGGAAAAAAATATAAAAATGTTTAGTATTTTATTTATAGATTACTGCTTACCTCAAACTTTGATACAGCGAATAGAGAATATCAGTTTTACGCTTTTGAGAAATTTAAAGTAAAAATTTCTGTTCAATGTTGTCACTGGACTTTAAAGTAATAGTGAATAGAATCCTATCAAGCCTGGATCCATAAAATCGTGCCACCTGGCTTATGAGCTGTTCCAGAGAGCCTCTTAGAACCACATATATATATATATATATATATATATATCTTTTTACACGAAGCTTTTCATTTCCGCGTGATAGCATCCTGTAAATAATAATTCTATAGTACTGTTAAGCTCATATTAATTTCAACATTTGGGCTAAGTTCTTCCAGATTCAACACATTGCATAAGATATTATGTCCATATTATGCAGGCGTCTCTTAAGCCTGCAGTGAGCGGTGTGTATTGAAATGAGCAGCCTGTGATCTAAGAAGGTCTATTATTCATTTGAAGATTTTGAGGTTGTATCCTCACAGTAACAATTTAGCTTGGTGAAAACAAGGTGTTTGCTGTCAATGCTTTTCTCCCCGGAATTATTCTCTTGTGGTACAATATGTTCAATAATTCTCTTGTGGTATGGGGTCTCATTGCAAAAAACGTTTCTGGTCTCAGCGTGACGCATCCTAAACTAATTCTCTCACTGCCTGCCTACCAAGCTGAGCGCTATAATTCTTCACGTATTGGAAGGAGGTATACTTAGATATAATACGGTATAACCGGCATATATATATAGGGTATAACAGGCAAGATCTCCCATATTACCAATCTTCTAGCCCTTGACTTTAGACAAGTTTTCGGTTCTTTTTTTTACTGTAGTATGAACAGTTTTTTTATATAAGTCACAACTAATCTAGCGACTGGCGCTTCAAAAATTAACCGAAACCGAAAAAAACCAAATTTTGCTGAAAGCACTGCGAGCCACCCAGCCAAAATTGGATTAAGCGTTGACATGCTAATATTCGCTAAGGAGTCGATTGTTTTTTGTTTTTTGGCCAGTCCGGGTCAAATTGGATTTGGTATGATACGCATCCCTTTTTATCAGTAATGAAATGTTATGAATTTCGTCATACTTGTGTATGGTCTTAAACCAAAGGCCCTGCAACTTCAGAGTTATATCTGACACGGCCTAGAGCACACAGCTTTATCTATACCAAAAGTTATTTCGTTGTTCTCTATGAGCTGGATGCACTTTCAGTCTGCTTTTACTTTCCATACTGAGTATATATAACATCTTAAAATTAGATAAAATTCAACAGTATTCGTAATTCATTAGCGGCGCCCACTTTCATAGCCAGTAAATTTCCCAGCAGGGTTGCAATATAAAATGTAAGTACTCATATATGTACCTATATGCGTGTGGTCGCGAATGATACACTTGACAACATTTAACCGCAACTGATACAGTTATCACGTCAACTCACATCCCACACCGACAGGATGAGCGCATAAGTGGGCAAGTCAATGGCCCAAAAATGTTTACTGACGCTATAATCACTCCCACACACTTACTACCTACTCTACATGTACCCCGCTCTCTCTCTCAGCAAAGTGAAAAAAAAATTGAATTCGAAACGGCGTCGTCAACAACCTGAGGTAGACGCAAGACAGCAAGGCAAATTTTAATGGCCTTAGCACGCGATGCACAGTGTCGACCCCCCAAATACCATAATATGTAGCAATAATAATATCGTTTTTGTTTTCATTGTCACTTCGTACTGTAGCGCATCTAATACGCGCATCCATCGATAAACAATAAATATATCTCTCCGTTGTATAATAAAATGCTTATGGGCAAACATTTGGGGACAAATTGATGATGTTCTTGTGAATGTGATACTTGCTGGCGAGGAGTGGAGAACCATCTACCGCATATATTATATATGAGACCGCACCAGCCACCGCAAGGGTGGTTTATCGTCGCCAGTGTGTTTGTTAGAAAGGAAGCTGCACGATTTCGTTTCTGTTTGATTTTTGTTGGCGCTTGCGGGTACCGTTCACACTGAATATTGACAAATAAGTACGAAATGAAATACAGTTAACTGGTAATTGACAGTGGCGTAAATAATGAACTCGCTATTGGATGTGTGAAGTTGGGGGGGGCGGCACTCCTTCAAGGCGCTCATTAATTAATGATTAACGAAATTGATGCCGAAGATTTTTTTATCAGTTTTATATTACAATATATTAAGCACAAGAGCATACCCATGATTTCAAACCCCCTAGTCATCTGTAATGAAAATAAAAAGATTATGAGTCTGCAATGATGTCGCAATTGTATAAGCTAGCAATAAGTAAAAAAAAATTTTTGACAAAATGACGACTGTTTGAAAAAAAAACTATTTTTATTACCGTTTTTTTTATTTTCTCGTATTTTTAAATTTAGAGATGAGAGTACTCTATACTCGAGAGAGGTCTATAAGAAAAATTCTCTGAAATTTCAGATCGATATCTCCAAACCTGAGGAACTGTATCGTCTTTCATGATAATTAAAGTTCATTACATTTTTTAACATGAACCATGGCAACCTATATTCAGTGAAGGAGAAAGGGCGGGGCGATCGGAGACAATTCCTCTCGGAAACGGAGTTCTCAGAAGGGCCCGATGCTCTGCAACAATGTTTTGCAGAATTTTTTCCCAACAATTCACTACAATCATACCGGTTTTCTCACTATGTCCCTGTAGGTATCATCATTAACCGGACTTTTAAAAAATGTCGAAATCCTTGCAGCCATAAATACTTAGCCTTACTCCTCCACTGAACTTTTTTGCACAGTCCATGACCATGAAAATTGCAAAAGTATTAGACATTGAGACAAATCTTTATAGTAAAGTAAAAGCCACTAAAACATCAGGTCAAAAAACAACAATTTCTGATACAGTCATTCTTTAAAGATGTTTAATTTTATTAATCTGGTTCGACATAAGACTAGTTTTTTGAAAGGTTTTTAGTATCCGGTAAAAGCAAAGCGAACAAATTTTAGTGATTTTCACAATGAATGTCATTATCTTTCATTTTATAGCATATAGAAATATTATAATTTGTTATAATATAGAAATAAAATGCAATGGAGCTCTTGAAGATTTAATAGTTCACGACCGACTTCCTCAAACAATTTCTCAAAACTTAACACATTCTTAAGTATTCAAATATCTTCGGTTCAGCAGACTCATATTTCTATATC